GGCTCCCTCTAGCGCCTGGACCACGCGCAGACGCACATTCGAAGTGGATGCCTAGAGCTGAAGCCCTTTTCCTCCTGCTCACGGGTCCTAGATCCCACGGGCGCAGGTTCAACCCCACCACGGCTTTCCTCACACAACCATGGTCGGGCAGCGTGGCCATCTGCGACTCCCCAGGGTGCCTCCGAGTCCATGGGACAGGGGGGAGGGAGTGTTTCCTCAGCCCCACGGGAGACAAGCGGTGCACTCTGGGGAACCACAGGGGGATGGGAAAGAGGCCGAGGAAGGACGGTGCAGTGGGTAGGCCACAGGCCCGGGAGTTGGCAGAGCTGGTGCAAGTCCCTGCCGGGTCCCAGACATGGCTCCCTGCCGGGCGACGGGGTGTGGAGAGAACAGCACATGGTAACCAGGGGAGCGCCAGTGCCGAAGGCAGCCGGCTCCAGGACTCGTGACAGCGGTGGGGCTGCCTCCGGGGACCCCGGCAGCCAGGGTCCTTTGAGAACAGAGCTGTGGAGCAGGGAAGGGGGAGGAAGCTGCTGCGGCTGCTCAAAGCTCCAGCACAGGATGATGGAAACCCAGCGTCTGAAGAGCGGCTCCGACAGGTCCCCAGGGCTGCGTGGTGGGAGGCTCCGTCACAGGCCACGTGGAAGGGGCAAGAGGCAATACTCACAACGAGGCAAGTGATGACGTCGTTCTCGGTGAATGTTTCGCCGTAGTTCTCGAATTTACAGCTGCTGGATTTCTTCCCGGTGCCGCCGTAGCCATAGGAAAAGGGCTCTTCTCCTGCAGAGAGGCCACGGCGGGGATGAGCCGCAGCAGCCCACACCCCTCCCCTCTATGTACTGGGGCCCCACACTTATCTGGCCCCTCTCCCCCAAGAGCTTGAACAACCACAGACAGCTGATTTGTGGCAATCCAGCTCTGGGAAGGAGGGGGAGGAGCAGGGATCAAGTGACTCAGGCAATTCACGTGCTCCCAAAGTGCTGGGAGGGAGGGAGAAGGCACAGAAGTGTGTGTCTCCAGGGTGTGAAAGGCCCATGGGGCAGAGAGCAGACAGATCAGGACGCCCACCACTGATCCAAGGGGCTCCCTTGGGCACAGCCAAGTCAAACAGGGTCGCACACCCCCTAATCAAAAGCTACAGGCTCTTACTGGCAGGCCTGGTAGGAGGCGAGGAGTCTCTGAGGCGGGGGGCAGGAAGGCCCTACCTCTGAGCCAGCCATCCCCGAAGAGCAGCCATGACTTGGCCAGATCAGGAGCAAACCAGCAGCTAAAGAACATCCCCTTGTAAGCAGCGAGTGGCAGGACAGTCCTCCCGCCCCAGATAGGGACACAAGCACCTGGCTGCCATGGCAACCGGTGCCCAGGTGATCCGTGACATCAAGGACTAACGTGACGTGTCTCACAGGAGTCACGGGGTGGCTCTTACCTAGTTGGGTGCTGCAGGAATCCAGGGACCAGCCAATGCGCACGACGTGAGGGTCGGGTTCTGTGGAAGGAAGGTGTTTGACAGAGATCTCTTCATTGATCTGGGGATAGAAAACAAGGTTGAAATGGCCTTCAGGCCCCAGACAACTGCAGAGTTCACATCTGAAAGTCAACGCCTGGCGCAGGCTGTTCAAGAACCAGGGACAGACACTTTGCAAGCCTCACAAGCCTGTCTCATCTAGAGCCAGGAAAGCAGAGACGTGGCCCCGAATTCAGGGTGTGTCACAATCAGAGGTTCCACAAAGACCGCTTAGGAAACCAGTTTTTAAGCAATGGGTGTGCCCCAGAGCATCTGCAACGGAGCCACCGAAGCGTTGTGCTGGGACACCGTTCTTCAAGGCCCTGCAAAGAAAATCTCACTTGCTCACCCCTCCCTACACAGACCTTTCAAAGCCACGGGTTCTGGGGCAAGCCCTCAGACCAATTTCCCAGAGTCAGCCTAGACTCAGTAAAACACGGGGCTGGCAGGGACCTCGAGGGGACGACTGCTCCATCCCCACCCCAGCACACCTCAAATTGCCGTCGCTGACACTCTTCTGGCAAACGGAAGGGAAGTTGCAAAAACTGTCTTGGAATAAGAGGGGGGTCGACGGGGCAAGGGTGCAAAAGGCACTAGCACGCCAGAGCCTAGGAGCCAGCGGAAAGCAATTAGAAACTGGCCAGGCTATTTTCACAGGCCAAGCTGAGAGAAGCACCAGATGAAACGATGAGCTTTTAAAATGCTTCTTTGCCAGCTTCCTGCCTCTCCGGTGGGGTCAGAAGATTTAGTTCAGCACTGCTCAGAGGAGCCAGCGGCATGGGTTGTGGGAAAGGATTCTCTGTGTCCCATGAAGCAGCACTAAGAAACAGGCTAGGCATGACCGGAGCTAAGCTGATGTTTGAGTTTCCAGTTTACTAACTGGAAGTCTTCTGCCCAGCTCACACACTGTGATGAATGGGGGAGGAGGAAACGGACACACGGACGGACAGACACTGTGCTGGGCATAAGGGGGAAGGCTCATGAAATCAGCGACCCGGGTGAGAGGAGATCTACCCTGCCTACTGTTTCAGTTTGCGACTCCCAGGACAGACGGTCTGGCTTGACAGATGGCCTAGGACGTCCCCCAACGAGTGCGTGGAGGTCTGGGCGCGCTGGGCGGAAGATGCTTGTCTCCTGCTCCAGACAGCTTTATAGGGTTGGCTTTTGGCCACCTCACACGGAGCTTTGCAGAGCCAGGAGTGAACCGAACGCGCTGCTACAGGAGTGGGCTGGTAGTTGGATTAACCAGAGGCCAGAGCGGAAAGAGCGACACAGCTTTGCCATGTTGCCACAAGCGAAACATGGCCCACTTGGGACCCAACACAAGAAGCCTGATTGAACCGGCCATCCCTCCCATGCACACACGCTGTGATCTGCAGGGACACAGTGGGCTCTGACATGGAGTCTCACCCCAGGCCCAGGGCTAACACCACACTGAAACAAACTAAGGCAGTTGTCCCCCCCTCTCCCTTAGGACACTGTCCCAGGCTCTCTGCCCAAGACTACCCTGCATCTTTTCACACTTTGGTCATGCTCCGTGCTAAGCAACTTACATGTTTATGAAGTTTTAGAGACTTTAGAAAAATGAACCAATAGATTTTGGAGGCCAAGATACTGTCATCAGGGGGGAAAAATCCCAGGTCACCAAGCCATCAAAGCTGGCCCAATTAACCTCTGCAGGAGGGATAAGGCCAGACTGGAGTCCCTCAGCCCACCCCAGGAGTGGTGAGATTTCAGTCTAAGTCTGCTCACAGTAAATAGGAAGACAACTTGGAGGCCTATGTCACGTAAGGAGAGCAGAGGGTTAAGACGAGGACTGAATGGCCACCACCCGTCAGCTGGGCACTTCCGTGGGATAAGGAGATTGGGTTAACGGTTAGGCATGCCTCTAAGCAGTTGAATGAAACCTGCATTCTGTTAAAAACGTCACAGTAGCCTGGTGTGAGAGGGAAGCTGTGTTCTGTGTCTACTGTGTAGGCTGGAATGAGAACAGGCACGAAGGCTGAGTGTCGACTATGATTTCATGTTCCTCTTTCCCATTGGTGCAGCTCAATATTCAGATGAGACATTAGAAAGCTATTTGTTGTTAGACCTATTCACGGCCATGTCCTGTTTCCAGCCAGAAACGCCCCAAATCCAGTTCTTTCTCCGCTGAAAGATCGCTAGCACATGGAATCTGACATGGACGTTCAAGGCGAGTTGCACGTTACTGGGACGGCACGTGCTGCTCTTACCTTCATCTCGTAGCAGACTCGCCCTTGCCTCACGCCGTAGGTGGCTCGGGCGCCTGACCACAAGTAAGCAAAGCCTTCTATGGTCAGCGGGTAGCCGCTGTATCGGTCCCTGGCAACTTTGAAATGTAGGTCGCAGTTATCTAGAGGACAAGAAGGGCCGGTGTTAGCCGGAACAATACTGAGGCGATCGGTGCACTGGACTGGCTAAGAACTGGATGGCTTGGTCTATGCCTACAGCACTCCACACAGCCAAGTTTTAGGGTGTTACCTTAATACAGTAAGCCTCTATTCTTGGTGCTCCCCCACCCTGACCTGCCAGTCTCTCTCATCCACCTGTTACACCTCGCCTTAAGACAAGGAGGAGCCTGAGTTAGACACTGAGGGGAAGGAACGGTTGTTTACTTTGTTTGCTGCATGCCTAGTGCAGCTGGGCCTTTCAGTTTGACTCTCAGCTCCTGCACAAGCCAGATCCTGCCCACAAGATGGGCATAACCAAGCGCCTGTCCCTGCTATAGGCAGCTGGTTTTAAACAAACAAAAGCAAGTTTTTCTTTGCACAGTGCACAGTCGACCTGTGGAACTCCTTGCCAGAGGAGATTGTGAAGACTAGGACTTTAACAAGGTTCAACAAAGAGCTAGATAAATTCATGGAGGTTAGGTCCATCAATGGCTACTAATCAGAATGGGTAGAGATAGTGTCCCTAGCCTCTGGCAGAGGCTGGGAATGGGCGGCGGGAGAGGGATTGCTTGAAGCTTCCCTGTTCTGTTCACCCCCTCTGGGGCACCTGGGATTGACCGCTATTGGCCAACAGGACCCTGGGCTGCAGGGACCTTTGGTCTGACTCCATGTGACCGTTCTTATCTCCCCGCCCTCCCCCCACCAGACTGTTGGGTGCAATCAACATGCTGCAGAAGGGGGGGCATGGACTGATGGGGCCAGACAAGTGCTGGAGAGATCATGACATCTCAGAGGTCTGAACAATCAACAAGGGAGCAGGAAAGTCTGTGCTCATTAACAGGGCTCGCCAAGCGGCAGTGAGCCCCGCTCGCCAGCCGTGTAGAAGTGCACGCTGTGCGTGTGCAGACGGCGCTGCGCAGCCATGCCGGGCTAAAATCTACTCGCCACAGGCGAGTAGACTACATTAACTGTCGAGCCCTGCTCATTAACACCCATCAATCAGAAGAGGAATGAGTTGCGGGAAATGGTCTGGCCTGTGTTAGCCAGGAGTTCAAACAAGAGGGTTACAATAGCTCCTTCGAGGCACGGGATCTCTCATTTCCAAGACGTAAGCACCAGAGAAAGGCAGCCTGTGTCAAGGGCATAATAGCCCTGCTCCCCAACCCTCGGTAGGCGGAAGGACAGTGCCCAGTATACTTTTGGGACCCCCACAACTCCTCCAGTCATGCCAGAGAAGTCTAGTCTTGCTATCCTGGATAATGTCCAAGCTGAGAAGCAGGAAGGAGGAGACCAATTAAAGGTATTTGGGGTGCAGGATGTCACCGCTCTCTGACCCTTAAACTCACATGTATCAATGGCCACTAGCGTCTCATCAAACTCTTCTTCGTCATCTTCTGCAGGAGGCTGAGGCGACCGGCCCCTAGAACAAAAACACCAAGGCACAACTGTGGTTCGTGTGTCAACCTGCAAGGCAAAGCTTTGGGGACAACAAGCAGCAAGCAAGCTGGGGTTTAAGAGGCGGCAGGTTTCACCGGAACAGAATTGCTTATGGATTTGCAACCAATGCCGCCTCCAGTCAAAGCAAAGGCGAACAGGCTCGCTGAGAATGCTCTTCCCCACCACTGAGAGCTCCCACGTTTTCATCACAGGATGTTACATGGAGCCCTGCACCCAGCGCAGTTACTGATCTCTACAAACCGTGTGTAACCCGTCACCGATCAGAAGGGTGAAACTGACACACCAGTGTCAACAATGACACAAGGTGCGGGGAACACAGAAGCAGACCTATTCTTAATACGCACAGGGCCCTTTCAGTCAGCAAAGAGCAACAAACAGACTGGGTGAAAAAATTGCACACAATCACTTTCTCAAATATAGGCAGGCTCTGCAGAATTGGATCGCTCTTATTTTGAGGGGTAATACAGTGGGTTGCTTTTAATTTTTTTTTATGTATTTAAATGTTCATAATTGAGGGAAAATCTGAAGAGTTAGACAACAGGGCCATTGGACAATTATTTAATAACAGCAGACACTGGGATGCAAAAAGTTAAAAAGCCTTATAAAGTTATACCTTTATTGTCGAAATATACCACATAAACACGCGGAAATTAATCTAATAAGTTCTCTAGCAGCGTTTCTTACTTTTCCTATATTGATCAATGGATTTTTCCCCAGTCTGTGTGTTTGATGAAATCGATCGTTACCAATTTTTACGGATAAAAATCAAATCCTTCGAAGCTTAAACACAGGCGAGAACATGCCCCCAACAAGAACAGCAAATAATTCCAACAGGAGAACCCTCCGTCATGTTTTCACATGGAGCACGTGCAGCTGCTACAATATTTGGCCCCTCTCTAGCACTTCCTTCCTGAAGAGCTCAAAGCTCTTTAGAGGGGTGATTTTCGAGTTCTCCCTGCTGATCACTAATGAGGCTCCACAAGATCCGCACATAACTATGTGTTGTTCCAGTTCTAGGCATGGGAAGCAGACACAGTGAATGAGTTGACCTTGGTCAGTGGAAGCCTCCACTCTAAATGCCCCATCTCCTTCTGCCCAGCTCTGAGACTTAAACACAAGGCATTTTTCCCTCTCTGCTGCTGCGCAAAATGAAAATCAACATTTAGAAGAAATCCACTGGACCGAAGCTCCGGAGCCAGATTCCTGCTTTACGTGGGACACTTCACTCTGGGAGGCTCTTTGTGATCGCCCCTATGACGGGATGCTCAGCATGCTGGAGGATTCATAAGGAACAGCCCCCCAAAAGCCCAACCTTTAGATCTCACTAAAGCACTCTGTAGCAGCAGGTCTCCAAGCGCCTTACAAAGGACATCAGTATCACTGCCTCCCTTGTGCAAGTGGGTAAACTGAGGCACGGGACAGCATGACTTACCCAAAGACACCCAGTCGCAGAGCTCTACCGCTAGGTCACACTGCTCCCCCAAGGATCAAAAATGTACAAGCGGAGGGAATGGGTGAGATGATGGCTGGTCTTTGGCCAAGGCTTTGACTGATCTAACCAGTTACACTCTCAGCTCTTTCTAAACTCGGCTTCAAGGAATCTCCTCCGCCCCGGCCCAGGTATAAACATCTGGAACCACAATAAGCCAGAGACTCATCTGAGTTTCCCTTTGTGAGCTCACCTCTTATCTTCCCGGTGTTCGTAATACCCTCGTCCTCGCTGCTCTTCAAAAGGCCTTTTGCGACCCTGTGGTGGCTGCTGCTGTCTGGGCTGAGATGGATCAGGCGCATTGTAGCTAGAGGGAGGTGCGTTATAGCCAGCAGTGGGGGCGCTGTAGCCAGAAGTGGGGGCACTGTAACTGGGGGCATTGTAGCCAGAGGAGGGGGCATTGTAGCTAGGGGCGTTGTAGCCAGAAGCAGGGCCACCATAGCCAGGAGCTGGCACGTTATAGCCAGGAGCCGGTACATTATAGCCAGGAGCTGGTTCTTCTTGCTTTACTTCTGTCTTCATCTCTGAATTCAAAACAGGCAGTGAGATTCAAATATTCCTGTCACCCCTGAAGAGACGAGGCTCTTACTGAGAGCTGCTCAATGGTAACAACCCACTCCGCTCCCCTGGCTAGTTTTGCTATGATCATTTATCCTTTGCCCCAGTGTGATTAAAAGGAATTAGTTCGCAGAGCCCCATTTTTTCCTATTCCTAACCACACGCTCAGGACCAAGTCTTGACGGTATATTGGTCCCAAATCTTTTCTAGCCCTCTTACGCTGCCAAGGACTGCAACTTTGGGGGAGGACAGCAAGCAAGCTTGGGAGCACAGAAATGGCATTTTAAGGTCTGATGTCTTGACAGGACATCCTGTATCACCGTGGGAATCAAAATCAGTTTTCCCAGGAATTGCAGAAATCGTTTCTGGTCTTGAACAACCTCACGATGCTCGACTATAACTGTGCCCCAATTGCTAGCATGGTGTTTTGCAGAGCTGTCTAAGAACAGGCTGTTTCAAGTCTCAGATCAGTGCCACTTTTGTCCCTCTGTCTCAGACTGAAACCAGTTCTTTGGTCACACAAAACAATGTGGCAATACAACTGCAAACTCCTACCAAAGCCTTACGTGGCACAGAGCCTTCTAAGGTTGCAGAGAAGGGAGGGGAGGAGAAGAGGACCAAAGAGCTTTCTTCTTCTGGCAGGGACAGGTGCCCTCGTGAAGGAAAGCTCTAGGCCCCACGGTGACTTACGGCAACAATTACATGCCCATTTCCTATCATCTAATTTGTCAGAGTCTTGCTGATAAGGCCGACTTTAAGAGGACTGTTACCTGAGTGTAAGACAGGACGCTCGTGGTCTAGAGGTCTCCTCTCATACTTCGCTTCGTTTTCCTGTTTAACATTGCAGTGCTCGAAGGACTGATAACCCTGGGGGTCATTCTGATGAGTATTGTTGTCAACGCCATCTTCAAACAGAAACAGGCACGCATTATAGCAGTTACTTACAACAGATTGTAGCTAAGATACACAGAGGAAACCGGTGAATGTTAGCATTTTATCACCAGGGAATCGGCGCCTGCAACTTTTGGGATCTACACACAGAGAACTCACAGGTCTGTCAAGGCGCACTCTCAAAAAGCTATCGCGAAATCAAAGAGCCAACCATCTGCTCGCTGCAAAACAAGCATGTGTTTCAGTGGCAAAACTCTTCTAGTGCAAACTACCCCTTTTGAACTAAAGGCAACGAAATCCCAGTGTCAGGCAAATCTAACCCACGCTCCAGCAAACAATGACAGACAACACTCCCTACGCCTGCAGGACTGAACTGTGACCCTCACGTCTAGCAAAGGAAGTTTACTCACTTGCATGTAGGACTGAACTTGTAGTTTACTTTCCAAGAACTACAAAAAGCAAAAGTGAAAGTGGCTACATCACCTTCCAGGGGAAAGACAAATCAGTAAGTTTTGGTCCTCAGAGGTTGTCCAATTCACACAAATGGTACAATAAGAGCATCTTAGCACAGAACCAAAGCAAATCAGCATTCTCTAGCGCATGGGTTCCCAAACTGGGGGGCATGAAGACATTTCAGGGGGGACATGAGGCGACGCAGCCCCCCTGGTCCAACCCCCCCAACTTGCTGCTATTTTTGTTTTTCGGACCCGGTCAGTTCCCCCCCCACTTTTTTTAGCTTAACAAGTTTTGCTGCTATGGGGTGTGTGTGTGTGTGTGAGGGTTTCTCAAAAATCAAAAAGGGGGCGTGATGCCAAAAAGTTTGGTAACCACTGCTTTAGTGAAATATTGAAAGGTGGCTCATCCGCTATCACACCGCATGCCAGAAAAGCACAGAACCAGTCCCGGTACGAGATGCACCATTAGGAGGACAAAAGTATGCCTCCAATGGGCAACAGCAAGCAAGCAAGCTTGCACATGCTTCCAAGCACCTGAGATTTAGGGAGCATTCCCACACGTGGTTTGACGTGTAATACAGCAAAGAGATAAGATGACTAGCAAGTCCAGACCCATACATACTCCCAGTGCTGAACCCCGGAGGGGCAGTTCAGTTTCTGTCTTTTAAGCTCAGTCTCTTGTATGAAGCAGAACTGATCAAATGTGTATCCAAGCTATTTATGCACGTGCACACACAGCTCCTCCAGCCATGCACGAACATCGCAGTGGACAGCAGACGAGATGTGGCTCTACGGTACTTGCCAACCAGTCTATGGGAAACAGACCCTAACCACCAGGGGAATTGGGGGAGGGGGGGGAACAGGACCTGACAAAAGCCTAGAGGATCTCTCAATGAATAGGCTGACAGGATCCCTACCTGCCAAAATCCATCAACAAGGAAACAAGTGAGGAACAGCCAAGAACTGACCCCTCTCCAGATAGAAATAAAACCAGCCATGGGATGCATAAAATAAGCACCTACTGCTGACAGAAAGCTACCTCCTTTCCTCATGGGAGAGGGGAAGGCAGAAGTCTCTTGGGTACATCTACACACACCAACTCCCCCGCGTCATTACAAGCCGGGTGGGAGCAGTGAGCTGGGACTAGAGCCCAGGCTACCGGCGCCCTCAGCGCTGGGATCACATGACCCGGAGCCAGCTTGGCACATCGTATCTGCCCACCCTGATGCCCCTTCCCAACCAGAGGCTACGGGTGTCCCCAACAGCTGTGAGCCTAAATGCCCCAGTGAAAACCCCAATTACACCAGCGGGCCAGGCCAGGCTGTTATGCAGACATGACCCTCCCCCCGGGGAGAACAGGGCCTAGGGGCTTTAGACACCTACCCAGACCAGAGGCTTTAGAAACCCACCGCCCAAGGGAGGGCAGGGCCTAGGGGCTTTAGAAACCCGTCGTCCCAGAGAGAACAGGGCCTATGGGCTTTAGAAACCTACCTAGCCCAGATGCTTTAGAAACCCAGTGCTCCGGGGAGAGCAAGGCCTAGGGGCATTAGACACCTACCTAGCCCAGATGCTTTAGAAACCCAGTGCTCCGGGGAGAGCAAGGCCTAGGGGCTTTAGAAACCCATCGTCCCCAGGGAGAGCAGGGCCTAGGGGCTTTAGAAAACCACGTCCCCAGGGAGAACAGGGCCTAGGGGCTTTAGGCACCTAGCTAGCCCAGAGGCTTTAGATACCCACCGCCCCAGGGAAAGCCGAGCCTAGGGGCTTTAGAAACCCACCTCCCCGGGAAGAGCAGGGCCCAGGGGCTTTAGAAACCTACCTAGCCCAGATGCTTTAGAAACCCAGTGCTCCGGGGAGAGCAAGGCCTAGGGGCTTTAGAAACCCATCGTCCCCAGGGAGAGCAGGGCCTAGGGGCTTTAGAAAACCACGTCCCCAGGGAGAACAGGGCCTAGGGGCTTTAGGCACCTAGCTAGCCCAGAGGCTTTAGAAACCCACCTCCCCGGGAAGAGCAGAGCCTAGGGGCTTTAGAAACCCACCTCCCCGGGAAGAGCAAGGCCTAGGGGCTTTAGAAACCCATCGTCCCCAGGGAGAGCAGGGCCTAGGGGCTTTAGAAACCCGCAGGGCCCAGGGGCTTCGGGACCCCGCCGGGCTGCCCGACAACCCTGGGCGGGGGGAGGCTCTTCACCG